GGCCAGCGGCAGACAGTGAGCCTATGTTTGATTAATTTAGCCCAGTGATGGGCAAACTTGGCCCTTCCAGGCCACTTTCCTGCAGAGATTTGATCCAACCCTGATAAAACTCACCTGCCTGTAGCCTTCTAGTAGTCTTGAAGACAATGTTTAGCTGGTTCAGGTGTGTATGATTAGGGCTGGAGATAAACTCTGAAGGAAAGTGGCCTGGAAGGGCCAAGTTTGCCCACCCTTGATTTAGCCTTCTCAAAATAGTTCAGTTTTGTATGTAATAGCAAAGTGATTATATTTCGTTAAATTTTTTTATGAAGTTAATTTAAAAAAATGTTTGTTTGTTAAATATAAGTTTTTGTTTTTTAAAGTAACGACCAGGCGGCCAGCGGCAGACAGTGAGCCTATGTTTGATTAATTTAGCCCAGTGATGGGCAAACTTGGCCCTTCCAGGCCACTTTCCTGCAGAGATTTGATCCAACCCTGATAAAACTCACCTGCCTGTAGCCTTCTAGTAGTCTTGAAGACAATGTTTAGCTGGTTCAGGTGTGTATGATTAGGGCTGGAGATAAACTCTGAAGGAAAGTGGCCTGGAAGGGCCAAGTTTGCCCACCCTTGATTTAGCCTTCTCAAATCATCACGACTTGCCTAAAATAAAATCTATAGATATAAAACAGTTCAAGCATATAACAATGTTTAAACGTTAAACCTAGATAAATGTGCGCTATATCCAATAGAATGTGCGGAGAGTGGAAGCTAAAGAGCGCTCTGCAAGACATGGAGGCGCCAGCGCGATCACTTGCATTTTTTTCAGTGGATATGCCGTCATTTTTGCTCATAAAGGTAAGAGTAAAACATCATTCGTAGCTGTAAAGGGTCTACTTTTATTTGTGTGCACTTTTTGGTGTGCACAATTTGCGTAAAAAAGTCGGGGCCCGTCGGGTCCGGGCTGAAATGCAGGGCTCTATGCAACATTAACAAAAAAGAACACATTGATAATCCCAACTCAGGAAGGAGTTTGTCAAATTTGGGGCAAGTAACCAAGATTAATGGTCAAAGAGATGCACAGCTGACCATCACATGTAAATCCATGGTAGAAATCATGAACTACATACTTCCTCGGACAGGTTTCCCCCACCCAGGACAAAGACCAGGCTCCTTAAAGACCTTTTGACCTTTTTGTTCCTCACAAAGCACACCCTCACAGAACGACAGAGAGGCTGTTTTTTACATGTGTAGATGCATCTAAAATCATCTTAAAAGGACTTATAAACAAATATCAGTCCATTGCATAACTTCATAGCATGTATGTAACCCACACATTTGTTCTAATACATAATGTTCTAATCACTCATTGTGTATGTATTTTTAATAACTATTGAATAGCTTAAGGGTTCATATTCATGTTTAGTATGTGTGTGTTTGAATCTTCTTGCTTAAAATATTTCTTCCAATCAATTCTTTGTCAAATGTATCATATTCTTGTTATAGAAATCATGTTCAAATTATACTCTGCAAGAGCGGGAAAATTCGGATCATGTGACTGATAAGATAACATGTTGATTTATGTATTGGGAGGAGAAACATAGCAACACCCCGAGCTAAGACAATGTCTAATTGGTCAAGACACCATTTGGGATGTGTCCAACAGCCATGTTTAAATACTCGGGACACCATCAAATTATGCTTTTTCTTGCCTTTTTGCCACCGCGTTTTGTTCGCCACTGAACTTCCAGCCAATCAGCAACCTTGGGAAACCCCTTTCTGCAACGATGACAACAAAAGAGAAACCCTTAACACAAAGGCAATGCAAGTACAACCTCCAGATTCTAGCTGAACTGGTACATTTAATATAAAGTTTATAGCCTCATTGAGTCAGTTGGAAAAAGATGGATTGCCCCCTCCAGGTTGGGGGGGGAGTTGCTCCCTCAAGTGGAGGAGTTTAAGTATCTCGGGGTCTTGTTCACGAGTGAGGGAAAAATGGACCAGCAGGTTGACAGACGGATTGGTGCTGCGTCCGCAGTAATGCGGTCCTTGTACTGGTCTGTTTAGGTGAAGAAGAAGCTCTCAATTTACTGGTCGATCTACGTTCCTACCCTCACCTATGGTCATGAACTCTGGATCATGACCGAAAGAATGAGATCGCGGATACAAGCGGCAGAAATTAGTTCCCTCTACAGAGTGGCTGGGCACACCCTTAGGGATAGGGTGAGGAGTTCAGTCACCCGGGAGGAGCTCGGAGTAGAGCCGCTGCTCCTCCGCATCGAGAGGAGCCAGTTGAATTGGCTCGGGCACCTGTTTCGGATGCCTCCTGGACGCCTCCCTGGTGAGGTGTTCCGGGCATGTCCCACTGGGAAGAGGCCTCGGGGCAGACCCAGGACACGTTGGAGAGACTATGTCTCCCAGCTGGCCTGGGAACGTCTTGGGGTTCCCCCAGAGGAGCTGGAGTAGGTGTGCGGGGAGAGGGAAGTCTGGGGGGCTCTGCTGCACTGCTTCCAGTCTCGGATAAGCGGAGGAAGATGAGATGAGACAGCCTCATTGAGAGACTCAATGCGAGGGTTAATTAGATGATTGATGGTTGTTCAGGTCTATGCAATTGTATATATTGCCATAAACTTGGGATTTCATATTTTCACTCTTCTAAACTCATTCTTTCCTCACGTTCTCTCTTTCTGCAACTTGTGTGAATGTATGAGTGTGTATGTTTATGTGTTATGTGTTAGATGTATCCAATAAAGCCTTATTTATATTGAAAAGAGAAGTATCTTGTGTTTTGTGCTTACAAGTTAATGTCTTAAACTGACGATCTTGTTTTGATTGACCCATTTCCCTTACATCCTCAATAGAAATGTTATCAAATTAATTGTTAAAAAACTATTTAAAAATATTTTTTAAAACATATAAATTTATAACATTTCTATTGAGGATGTAAGGGAAACGGGTCAATTTAGCTCAAAGGGAATCATTTAAGATTTTATAGGGAATTTGGACAGAATCACTGTTTTAAGGCTGATCACTGAGTCGGCCAGCGATTCATTGAACGAGTCGTACAACATCAACTCTGCATGGATATTAATATCCAAAATATAGTGAAAACACTATTTATTAGCACAGTAACAAGATCGTCAGTTTAAGACATTAACTTGTAAGCACAAAACACAAGATACTTCTCTTTTCAATATAAATATTTTACATATATAAATTTATATGTAAAAATGTTCCAACTTTTCCAAATCTAATCATTTCATGATAGAAAAAAGTCCTAACCAACATTTTTCTTCATTTAATACTGCTATATTGCTACTATATTAATATTGAGCTGTTTTGTCAAAGTTTTACTTCAAAAGTGCAAGAAAAACTGATCTTCCCCCATTAAAAAAAATTTCTCAAGAACTGAAATCTTACACACTGTCTCTAAGACATACACAACAGACAAACTCAATTACTCCAATGTCACTTAATTTCCTTCCTTATCATTTCTCATTGCAGTCTCCCACCCCAGTAACCTCACAATCTCCCACTCCTCTGGCTGATGAAATTATTTTCTCTGCACCGCTGCACTCTGTCACAAGCCAGACATAAATATGTCACTCCAACACGCAGCATACACCCTGGTCATTACAGCAAGCTTGCATGAAATGACATAAAGACACAAGGAGTGTTTACATCACGAGCCTGTCCTCATCGTCCCGGCTGAACTCTGTTCAACCTGGAAAACAAACCTTCCAGTAAAGACCAGTATGTCCTAGACATAAAAACCACCCTAGTGCCTATCTGTATGTGCATTTATGTGTGTATACTCAAAGTTTCCACAATCCCAGGATGCAGTCCAGTTGTTCTACAATCTACTATAAAATCCAAACAGAGTTCTGTAATAGAACAGTCTATCTAGCATTTCCCTAAGAGAGGCAGAAATACTAAACACAGTCACACAAATATTCCATTAATTATTTTTTTCAGTACTGGGGCAAAACTTGAAGGTATCTGATAGTGTTAAAAGTGTTTACAAAAATCCATATGTTTACATTTAAATACATATTTTTAAACTACCATTCAAAAGTTTGGGGTCAGTTAGATTTAATGGTTTTAAACAAAGTCTCTTTTTCGCACCAAGGCTGCATTTATTTGATCAAAAATACAGCAAAAACAGTAATATGGTGAAATATCTTTCAAAATGTAATTTATTCCTGTGATGTTAATATTTTTGTTGTAACATTATAAAAGTCTTTAATGTAACTTTTGATAAATTTAATGCGTCCTTGCTAAATAAACGTATTAATTTATTTAAAAAAAAACTTACTGACCCAAACTTTTGAACAGTAAAAATATAAACAATATAATATAAAATTACACACATAATTTAATATAATGTAATTAATGACACATTTACTGTATATATTGAAACTATATAACTTTAATATATATTTAGGAGTATCAATTTAATAATTATTTATAACAAAAAAAAAGATGAAAACATGCAATTAATTGAATCGTCTTGCCATATAATTTATTTTTTTAAATCAACTGATGAAAGGTAACATGAAAGATAAATGTAATGTCATGATTTTGACAAACTAATGTATAAAAACAAAAATCTCTGATTCATTTCAAAATGCAAATGTTGCTATTTAAAATAAATATTTAAATTAATAAAAAAAAAATAATGAGGTAAAGTTTTGGAGCATGCTTTGTTTCATGCCATAAGAATAAATGCCATGTCATAAGAATAAATTACCTTCCAGTCAGGGAAGGAACAAGGCAATCTAAGACGAGTGAACTGGCCTAAGAGCTATTATGTGCAACCATTAGTATGCACACAGTACATGCGTACATAAGGCAATAGTGATGAGTGCGAGATACAGTAAAGCACACTTGAAAGGACAATGTGCCCACAAGGGACAGAATCGACCCTGAAGGTGCATAACAACAGCAAGAAAAACAGATGGGGAGGGGAAAAGAGAGTGGAAGCTGAGGTGAAACCAGGACGAATCATGAGCATTTGGACTTGCCTGGCCCCCCTTGGGCTGGTACTTGATGTTATCAATAGAACGGATCTTGGATTTGACGTTCTTGAGGTCAGGCAGTGGCTGGTTAATGACGCGCAGCTGTTTGGGTGTAGTCGCCGGGGATTTTGGAGGCGTTCGGATGATGGCCACTTTCTTTTCCTGGGACAGCAGGCTGAGAGATTTGGGGGTGCCCGGTGTGTGGGGGGTGCCTGGAGTACGGCAGGAGTAGCTGGGAGGGGTTCCAGGGGTGATGGCCATGGACATGGGCGTGCGGGGTGTAGAGGTGCCACTGCGGGCCGAGCGGGACCGAGTAGTCTCTGCGCCTTCAGTGGAAACAGAAATTATCAATTTAAATGCTCGAAATCAGGAAGTGCAACATCAGCAAATGAATGTGAAGATGACTTGTTCATATTTTCTCACAGAAAATATACAGTGAAGTCTAAATTCCATTAACGAAAATGCTCCTATTATGTTTATTTTTTTCTAATTTAATCTTTTTTATTTTTTCAAGTTATTTTATCAGCATAACAATTTGAGAAAAAACTACAGCAACACCGCATAAGATACTGAACCTTGTTTTCAGAAAGTTAAATATGTTTAATGTTTAATAACACTGATATACTGTACAATGTGTTTTTTTAAAGATATTATTTCTTTTATTCAGCAAGGTTGCATGAAATTGATCGAAATTGACAGTAAAGACATTTTACAAAAAAAAATCTACTTCAAATAAAAGCTGTTTTTTAAACTTTCATTAAAGAATCCTGAAAAAAGCCTCACTGTTTCCACAAAAATATAAAGCAGCACTACTGTTTTCATTATTAATAATAAGAAATATTTCCTGAGCACCAAATCAGCATATTAGAATGTCTCAAGGATGTGATATTTTAAAATACATTCAAACAGAAAATAGATACTTTAAACTGTAATAATATAATTAAGTTTTTATTGTATTTTTGATCAAATAAATCTGGACCTGGTGAGCATAAGAGGTTTCTTTCAAAAACATTTTAAAAAGTACCCCAAGACAACAATTTTTTAAAATAAATATTATATTTATTATTCAAAAAAATACAAATATTATATTTAATATTTAGTCTTACTACAGATTTTTTACTTGCTTATATATATAAATAAGTAAAAACAGACTTAATATCTTATGCAATGTTGCTTCTCAAGCAAGTGTATCTTGCTTTAAAGATTTTTAGATCTTTTTACTGGAAAACAAGTAAAAGAAGACCAGTCATAAGATCATTAAGAAGTCATTTTTTGCACTTCTTGCAGACTTTTGGTCACCACTGTAGATGATGATGACAATGATAGATATGAAATCGTATTACTGATTTTTAAACGTCATAATGCATACAACAATTTTTAATGGACTTAAAATGGCACAAACACAAAAAGAAAAAGTAATTATACTCACATGCATAATGGGAAAGGTAAGGTGTAGACAAAAAAGTGAAAAAAAAAATCCTTCTGTATAACAGTGCCCATGAAAAATTATTCACCCTTTTTGGATTAGTTAGTTTAGATGTGAGTAGTGAACATTGTGTTTCCAATGCTGTAAGAAAATGTGCAATGGAGGTGAATAATTTTTTATGGCACTGTATTTTTTATGGTGACTGCATCCTTGCACAGGACAGCAGGTATGAAAGACCGACAACAAACAGGGTGAAACATTAGGGACGGATCCTCTATACCTGTCATACTATGAGACCTGCCTGTCCTGTGCTGTGCTTTGACTTCAGTACGGAAAGCTACAGGAGCAGGGTGAAGAGAAAGGGTAAGTATATAGTGAGATTGAACGTGTCCTATAATAGATCCAAATGTGTCCAAAAAGCTCTTAGGAAACACTTCAGATTCTTCAGGCACCTCACAAAAAGAGTTTAGATTAGTGCTTCTTTTATCAATTTTAGCAGCACATACTGGCTTTTGGTAATATGCAAATAAAAACAATATAGATAAAATGTCTTCTATTCATTTGATTGTAGTAAAATGTGTATAATCAAATCAGCGATGATTAAGTCTGATCAGTGTCGAATATTATTATTATTATTATATAGTGGTTGTACTTGTATTTAAAAAATAAAGATGTATATTGCTTATCTGCTGGTTATTTTTACTTATAAGCCACTTTTAGAAGTAGTATGTATTATGTCAGGATGTGCATTAAACAGCCTGTTAAGTGTCCATTCAATTTCTATCATTCTATCTAGAGACATAAACAATAAAAAAATACATTTTATAGGTATAAGCAGAGCCGATCCTCCCTATACGCAAAATACGCAAGCTGCGTAGGGCCCACGAAACACCAGGGGGCCCCCTTGCTTTCAAAGATGATTTAATTTTAGTTTTGTTTTTGAATTTGGCCAGCAATTATGAAAACATAAATGATAATTTATTTTAATGTGGTGCGCTGTCGCCCTTTTTAAGTAAAAATCTATCAAATCATGTAATGTGAATGTCGTACAGTCTTGCTCGAGACTATAAAAACGAGTTGAAAGCGTACCGAGCCAGCGGAAATGACATTCGAGACGGAGTGAAACACAGACAAATGCGTTTCATTCATTCGTTCATAACCACTCATACCCCACTCCTACACCCCAACCCCCCCTCCCCCCGACACAGTTTTGCGTAGGGCCCCCAGAAGTCTAGGATCGGCTCTGGGTATAAGAGAATGCCTCTTACATGTGGGTCTGCGTGGTGCTGTTGACCCAGAGCTGGTAATGGAAGTGGAACTCTCCTCATGATCAGCCATGTGTGGGCGGCGGGTTAGTATGGATGCTGGCCGTGGAAGGGACGACCTCTTCTCTGGGCTCCGAGAACCACCATCCTGAGGACAGAGTCATTCATCCTGTTAGAATCATGGTAAACTTAATGGGATAGTTCACCCACAAATTAAAATTTACTCTCCCTCATGTCATTATTTTTTCCGAATTAACAACATTTTATGGAAAACAAATCTTAATAATTCATAACACTTCAACAATTCTTCTTTTCTTTTTCTTTTTGTATTCCATAGAAGAAAGTCATACAGATTTGGAACAACATGAGGTGAGAAAATCATTAATTTTCACTTTTAGCTTAACAAATTCTAGGACGACATGTTCTTTGAAAGTTCTAGATTAGTTAGTATTGTGCAGAAGCAAATAGTTTTTCGAACCATCTCGCTCCCTGCTTACCTTTACAGCATATAAATTTAGCAATACTTGTGGGCCTGCTGAAGAAGGGCGGGGCTCATAAAGATCTGCCTCCACCAACGGGCTCCTTTTATTGGAGGAGCTGGCAGAGTTCGGCCGGGCCGGCAGCAAAGCCTCTGCCCGAATTTTAGAGGTGGGGATCTTTGTTAGTGTTGTGGGATTGGAGGTCTATGATGAGAGGAACACGGACAGATGAGTGATTCATGCACAGTGAAAATGAAACAAAAAATTATATGAAAATCATCATGAGAGCATGGGCCATTAAACTGCTTGAGGGGGCACAATGTATCAATTTAAGGTTAAAGGAAATAAGGCAAAAAGGTCATGCAAACTTGCAAAACAAACACAAAACAGATATAAGATGGGATGTGCAGGCAATACAAAGAGTGGAAATCAGGGAGGCATCTGAGGCGCAAACATATACTGTATGTATATATTGAATTCTTGGTATCACCAAAAATTACTCTGTAACAAATGACAAAATGTAAAAGAGGACCTTTGGTATGTTTGTGTGTCGTTGTCAATGTTATTTGATCTATGTGAAATGTTTTGAAGTTGATTTAAAAATAATATAATTATTGCCACTAAAATAAAAACCAAGCCACAATGTGTCTTTCGTTATTAATTATTGCTGTTATTTCTGTATACCTGAGCCGATCTTTATTACACTGAACAAAATTATAAACGCAACACTTTTGTTTTTGCCCTCATTCGTCATGAGCTGAACGGGGCATCTGAGGCGCAAACATATACTGTATGTATATATTGTGTATGTATATATTGAATTCTTGGTATCACCAAAAATTACGCTGTAACAAATGACAAAATGTAAAAGAGGACCTTTGGTATGTTTGTGTGTCGTTGTCAATGTTATTTGATCTATGTGAAATGTTTTGAAGTTGATTTAAAAATAATATAATTATTGCCACTAAAATAAAAACCAAGCCACAATGTGTCTTTCGTTATTAATTATTGCTGTTATTTCTGTGTACCTGAGCCGATCTTTATTACACTGAACAAAATTATAAACGCAACACTTTTGTTTTTGCCCTCATTCGTCATGAGCTGAACTCAAAGATCTAAGACTTTTTCTATGTACACAAAAGGCCTATTTCTCTCAAATATTGTTCACAAATCTTAAAACACATTTTAGAGTGGCCTTTTATTGTGGCCAGCCTAAGGCACACCTGTACAATAATCATGCTGTCTAATCAGCATCTTGATATGCCACACTTGTGAGGTGGATGGATTATCTCGGCAAAGGAGAAGTGCTCACTAACACAGATTTAGACAGATTTGTGAACAATATTTGAGAGAAATAGGCCTTTTGTGTACATAGAAAAAGTCTTAGATCTTTGAGTTCAGCTCATGACAAATGGGGGCAAAAACAAAAGTGTTGCGTTTATAATTTTGTTCAGTGTATATAGATTTGATTATCTTTTGACAACCTATAGATAACCAAGATTTACACTTGAATTGGGATCATCATATTTGTACGACTGAAATCTAATGTGAAGCTTACAGATGCCCAGTCTCTAGAGTGCCTGGCCACACTGAAGGGCAGTCGACCATCTGCAGACACTGCAGAGAGAAAGAGAAAAAGAGAGGCTGAGAATGACTTAGAAATACATACTGTGACCATGACGATGACCACTGAGTTATATGCTCTCCAATGAAAATAAAACCAACTGAACATTACACACAATCAGATACACTGCAAAAGCAATCTTGTATACAAAAGCAGCCACATGAGCTTGAAATTATAGTCTGAAAGCTTTTTATATTTATTTACACTCATTTCAGAGAACTGAAGTGTGCAATGTGATAGGTATGACTGGTCAAAGATAATCTTGCCTCAAACTCAGGCCATTTGTAGAGTCAATGTTGCTATGTGAGCTGGTCAGATGTTACATCTAACAGAGCAACATTCTGAAAGCACCACAAAACCACAGTGTTTAACTTTTCAAGCAAATCAACAGATAAATTGCTTTTTTGTAGTTGTCTCTGAATATTAAACTGCGATTTTTGAGGTATATATATATAAAGTTTTAGATTTGATGCATGACATCTAACCAAAATGGAAATAAACATTTAAACAAAGATTTAAATATTTAATTTGTTGAAAAACATTTGAAGGGCTATATGGAAATATCATAATGGGAAAAAATACAGAATATGCAAAGAAAAGGAACATACAAAACAAAACAAAATGTCACTTCCAGCAACAAAAACCTTTTTTCTTCTTCATCTCATCCTTCTGGATGGGTACTGACTCCTTGCGAACAGGTTTGCGTTCAGGGGTGGTGATTCTTCCTTTGGCCCTGCCGCCTTTAGCCCTCTGTTTTGCTGGTTTCTCTGCGTGTGGTTTCTTGACAGGGCTCATCACTCTGGGTAAAGGCTCAATTTTCTCTGTGGCCATGCTAATATCATCATCTACAGAGTACATGAGGTAAAACAGGCAAACTACTTTTATACCAGGATGCAAACATACATTTACTTGCCCTCACAGAAACAAAAAAATCTGACTGTGCTTCAATCCAACTAATATACAACTGTTTTAACTTACCTAAAAAGATAGGAAACAATTAAGCTGAAAGGTTTTGACATTTGCTGAGCAAATTTCATGCAAAACAGATATTAAAATCACACCTTGAGTATCCACCCAGGAACTGTCTAAGATGGAGTCATCGATGGTAGTTTCATCTTTGTAGTCATCATAGCTTTGAGTTGGGGCCTCACTCTCTGGTACTTCTATCTCTTTAGCTGGACATACAGGAGGTTCAACAGGTTCTGGAACATCTACGACTTCCTCCAAACTGGGAGCCTCCATCTCTACTTCCTGTGCCATTTCCACAGCCTCCTCCTCCTCTTCCTCCTCTTGGAGGAGCTGTGGATGTTGCTCCTCAGAGGGAGCTGAGAAGCGTACACTGTGTCCAGAGACTTCGCTCTCATCAATGGTCTGCACTACCGTAATAAAATCATCTTCCACTGTTACTACTGACTCAATCGCAGCTTTAGGCTCAACAGTGTCTTCTGCAGCTTTGGCCCCTTCCAAGACTTCCTCGTCTTCCTCTTCTTCTTTCTCAACCACTTTTTCCTCCTCGTTTTCGTCCACAACCTCATCTGGTTCAGTTTTATCTGCCACCAGCTTCTCTTCCACATTAAGAGCTGGCTTTGGTTCTGGCATGACCTCATCAGGCTCCTCAGCAAGCTCTACCTCTTCCTCTACTTTTTGAGTCACCGTGGCATCAAGAGGAGCCTCGTCTGTCTTTGAAGGAGCTGGCTGAGGTTTCTCCTCTGCAACATTCTCTTTGAGGGTCTGCACTGAGTCTTTCTGCTTTACCTCCTGCTCAGACGGTCTCTCCTCTCTAAAATATTTCTCAAAAGACCCAACGGGAGATAATCTATTAGGATCTGTTTTAAGAGTCTCTTTCTCACATGGTGATCTAGGTTTTTCAGTGTCACCAACATGCATTTTCTCCTCGTCAGTAGCACTTTCTACAGAAGATGCTGGGGATGGTCTGATGGGCCGAGCAATTCTGTCCTTTGCAGCTCCAGTGAGTTGGTAGGCATCCTCTGCATCCACTTCTTCATAAGCTTCCTGATGTACAAGGTCTGGTTTATTCTTCACCTTCTCCCTGAGTTCCTGGAGCTCCCGCTCCTCCTCTACACTCAAAGGTCGGTCCTCCATCTCCAATTTGCGAATTTGCCTCTCATAGTCAGCTATTTCAGCTTCGGTTTCAGCTGAAAGTTTGGAACCTGCATCAAGATCAGGCTTTGCTTCCTCAAGAGTAACCGTCACCTTTGGTGTGATAAAGGTTTCAGCTTGTTTGTCTAACTGTCCTTTCTCGTTATCAGGTAGAGTTGGACTCTTGGTTTCTTCCAAAGGTTCAGTATTCAACAGATCAGATTCCTCTTGATTGGTCTCTCTAGAAGGTTTTTCAGAAGGTACAATTTCGATTTCAAAGGAATCTTCATTCCTTGGCTTTTCTTCTTCTGGTTTTGCCTGTGGTGTAACAACTTCTGTTGCTTTCAGATCTTCAGTTGATAGACACTCCTGTTGTCTAAATGCAACCAGACCAGTTTCCTTCTCCTCTGATATCACAGTGTTGAATATTTGAGAAGAAGAGTCCATTGGACTGTGCACATCCGCAGGCGATGGCATGGGACCAGAGTATTCACTGAAGACACAATATCCTTGTTCCTCCAACTGCATTTCTCTCTTTGTAGCCATCTGGCCCTGGTCACCTTTGAGCAAATGTGCTAAAGAATCACTTACTAGAGAAGACATGTCCATTGGGACAGACTTCCTCCTCATAATCTCTGGGTCTGTGTTGTCAGACGTCAACCTTGATCGGGTACCTGCCAAGTCCAGCATTTCAGGCAGGTCTGGGGCCATGACAGTGCTGTTCTTGTAACAGCTCTTAGCTTGGACAGGTGATTCTGGAGACTCCGTCTGTGGACTTGTCTTTACATCAGTGACTGTTGTCTGGGGAGGTGAAAATGATGGAGCTGTGGCAGAGGCAGTTGTCTCCAGAATCAGTGGTGGAAACTGAGGGAGCTTCTCTACTGAGGGAGTGGTGACAGGAAGGTAATCAGCAGATTCATCAAGGCTCTCACTAGTATGAGACATGATGTCTGTGGCTAACGGAGAGAAGTTTCTTGGATGCCCTTGGGCATCACCATGATCCATTGCCCCAATGGTGATATTTAAAGAGTAACTTCGTTGCTCTAGAGCCAGTTTTCCAGGAGAGAGTCTGCAGTCATCTCTTCTGTCTACAGGTGATGTGGTGTGTAGTGTGTCTGTGCTACTTTTCGGAAGATCTGGTTGGACTTCCAAAGACTGTACTTGAGCCAAGGTGCTGTAGCTGATTTCAGGAAGTGGTAGGCTACCAATAGAGTCCTTTTGTTCTTCTGATGTAGTACTCAGCTCATAATACCCTTCTCCTTGAGACCCGGAGGCATCTGTCTTAATTGTAGTGGTCTCAAAATAAGCAGACATTCCAGATTTGTCCTTCATGTCCCCATCTGTTGATATTTCCAGTTGTTTGTCTTGAATCTGCCCTGATTTGACCTCAAGGATATTACTGGAGTCACACGTTTCGGTTGATGGCTGATTCACAGCACCACTTTGTCCATCAGGCTTTTCAGTTGGAGTGTTGCAAGGTTCTTTGGCATGACCCTGGTAACTTGGAGGGAGATCAAAATCCTCCATGGGGCATGTTCGAGCAAAGGGGCTTTCCAGCATATCTGTGTCTCTGACAAGGCTCTGGTAAGATGGGAGATCATCATCTGGATGCACTGCAGATTCAGTGAAGTCCATGCCAATGGGATCTGTCCTCTCACTGTCTAGTCGCTCTGCTTCCATCTTCAGAGCTGAAAGCAAATCTCAAGTAGTCTGCATTGTATTGTATTATTAATAATTCAAAGTACAATACATTTGCCAGGCCAACCACCACACAGACAGGCAAAGCTCTTGGTCAAATAAACTTCCACTTTCAAATTGCAGCAGCCGATGAGACACACATACCAATTCAGTGATGTAGTGATGGCATGGATATGACAGGACCAGCATGCAGACCCAAAACATTTAATGTTGAGTAGATGAGGTCCAGAAAATGAGGATGAAATATCCAAGAAGGTGGTCCGAACATGATACTGACGTCAGTACACCAGCAGCAAGATGGAATAAGCTCATCTAAAAACTTCTGCCAAATGCATATTCAGAGATTATGGAAAATGCATAGTGGATCTGATTTGAATTATTCAAAATATCGTATTTATTCAAAATTGTTCTGCATTTTACATAATAAAGAGAATTTAAAAAGCATGAATGTAAACCATGTGAAATGACAATGCTTTGAAAATAATGAAAAAAAAGAAATACAATTTAAATTAAATCAACAAGCTTAGCTTTTCATGTATTTTGCATTTTGACTTCTATTACAAGTCATTCAAGACTAAACCTCATGGCCCTGACAGAGATGTGGATCAAACCAGAGGACAATGCTACACATGCAGCACTCTCTAATAATTTATCTTTTTCCCACTCCCCCGTCTGACTGGAAGAGGTGGAGGTACTGGTCTGCTTATCTCTAATGATTGGAAATTTAAACCTTTACCATCTCTGAGTATCAACAGCTCCTTTGAATCGCATTCAGCCACTATTACCCAGCCTCTTAAAATCCATTTTATAGTTCTTTATCGACTCCCAGGACCACTAGGTAACTTCGTGGAAGAATTAGATGTGCTGCTCTCAAACTTTCCTGAGGATGGTACTCCCCTAGTTATGCTTGGAGACTTCAACATCCACCTAGATAAACCTCAGGCTGCAGACTTCCACACTCTGCTTGCTTCTTTTGATCTCAAGCGAGTATTAACTACGGCTACTCACAAATCAGGCAACCAACTGGACCTTATTTACACACGACACTGCTCCACTGATCATGTGCTGGTTACTCCACTACACACCTCGGATCACTTCCTCCTCACTCTTAACCTCAACATGGTTCCTGACACAACACATACCCCTACACATGTCACTTTTCGACGTAACCTACTCTCTCTCTCACCCTCCCAGCTATCTGCTATGGTTTCGTCTTTGCTTGCTTCCCCTGAACAGAAATCATCTCTTGATGTTAACCGTGCTACAGATACTTTCTGCTCCACTCTTACGTCTTGTTCAGACACTGTCTGCCCCTTGTCTTCCAGGCCAGCTTGTACCACCTCTTCTGGCCCTTGGCTATCTGATGTTCTCCGTGAGTATCATTCTAAGCTCAGAGCTGCAGAAAGAGTATGGCGTAAATCACAAAATCCTACTGACTTTAATGTATATCGATCACTCCTGTCTTCATTCTCTGCTAATGCCTCCACTGCTAAAAGGACATACTATCACAACAAAATTAACAATTCGCCTAACTCTCGCATGCTCTTTAAAACATTTTCCTGTCATTTCTTGTCTACTCCTGCTCCGGCGGTGAAACAATGGCGGACTGATGACAGCTCACTCAGGGCTGGTCTAAGGTAAGACGCCAGTTCAGTCTGTGCTGAAACGCTACTGTCAATCAAACTATCGTGGGAGGGGCCTGTTTTTGTGATGTCACACAGACAGGCATCTGAGATTGGCTCGATGTGAGAAAGGAGTAAAGATTTTAGTAGATTAAAAAAAACACTGGGTGGATCTTTATCATTATAGGGTGGTTATGTACACACACATTTCAGTTCAAACAACTTGTAAAAGTACATGTAGCATCCGATGACCCCTTAAAGGAAGCAACACAACCTATTTTTAAAACTAAATATATTAATAAAATTAATATTAGATGAAAAATTAAAGAAAATTTGAAATGCTGCCTTTGCAACTATTTGAAATAAAATTAATTAAAATTGAAGAAGTAAAATTACTCACATGAAAACTGTGTAAAATAAATTAAAGCTAAATAGAAATATTTAAAAAACAAAAACAAATAAAAATTAACAAAGTAATAAAACTAAAATTAATAAAAAATAAAAGCTAATTCAGAATATGAATAAATACTATAATAGTATATAAATAATACTGAAAAACATTGCTTTAAGTACATGTTGTCATATTAGTCAGTAATCTCACAAGCAATAATCATATATAACTCATTAACCATTTTCAGTTAATTTCGATTTGGACATAAATGAGAGTTTTTCACTGATCCATTAAAAAGGTCTGCTTCAATCATTCAATTCAATCATGAATTGGACTGCAACATAGATTGCAATATAGAGTGTGTCGTCAGTTTATTGCCTTATCTTATTTTGCACATTATCTTTGTCATCACATTCAATTCAGATTCCAATCTCACAGCTTAGCTAAAATGAAGCAATGAAGATGTTTAGAAACCAAAAAAAAAGCTGGAAAATATTTGGTTCCAGTATTTTCTAAGTTCTTGATCCCCAACCCTAGTTAAATTGGAAACACAACCCAAAGTGTAGAAATAATTTTGGTGCTGAAAGTGATTAACCTTTCCTTCACCAATGTACTGTAATAAGGTCAGAGATGCTTGTGTGTGTGTGTGTGTGTGTGTGTGGGCCACCATATGAAGAGCTGAAAGTCTTCCTGTGATCTACAACATGTGTACATCAGCAGGTTGGAGAAATGTGAGGGGCCTGTTGAGATGCATGAGTACGTTTTGGGTCTGATGAAGCACAATCAAAAATATAAAATGGACAGACAGGCTAACATACGGGCGGACAGATGCAGAGACAAGAAGACGGCAAACAGGCAAAGAAGAAAATGTGCACAGCATGCACAAATGTCCTGCTGATGCTGCAAGTCATTTGGATTTCATTTTCAGAGTCAGTGATTTTCCTCCTTAAACTGAGCACATCATAGCAGCAGAGATTTTGTCTAAAAGCAGGCTCGTGCCTGTTTACCGCACGGTATAAAAGTTGCGCAAAATCCAAATGACTTGCAATGAACAAGGTACAAAAACAGATACCACCCCCACAAGACACGCTTCGGTCAGAGTAGGCACAATACAACAAAGACAAAAAACAGGAAGAGGCGGACCAGAGAGAGAGAGAAAGAGTGAGAGAGAGAGAGGTGTTGATGCTGAGCTAAAGAAAGAAGTGGAAGGAAAGAGACAGAAAAGGAAGAGGAGGGGAGGAGATAATGGCAGAGAGGAACCATGCGAGGTTCACCTTCAATCTGTCTAAACGCGGCGGCCTGCCCTGAGGGGCGAGAGCCAGAGCGCGTCCACTCTGGGCTGAATAAAGGGTGCTCATAGTATTCCTCGTCAGAGTGGTAGGGGTCATCCTCAGGCACAGACACTGAGATGGAGGGGGCGAGGAACTTGCACCTCTCGCGAGAATTTTGGAAGCGGCGGAGAGGACCTGCTTCCTCCTCATCCCCTACATCTACAAATAGACACAAGGAAAAGAACTGCAGGGAAATCTGGAGAAAGAGACAGAGACAAAGAGACAGAGGGGAAAAGGAAGGAAGCTAGACAGGGTGGAGCAAGTAACAGAAGAGGAGGTGAATCAGAATAAGCTTAAATTGAGAAAGGAAGGGAGGAGATAAAGAGAGAGCCAGAGAGAGAGAGAGAGAGAGAGAGAGAATAAGGAGCTAAAAAGTCAGGTGGAGAGAAATAAAACAAGATAGGAGTATGTGTACGAAAAAGAGAAAGACACACGCAACACAAACAGTGTCGAGAAACACAAAGTGTGACTGTAGCGGTGCCATGCCATAACCAGATTCTGAACACCTTGGATGCATTTTTATAGGTTTGTCTAATGTGAGGAAGGTCTAAAGCAGATGAAACTGCATCAGTATTAACTGTTTGCTTAAAGTCAACATAAATCAGCATTCACAAGCCATTTTACTTCTGTAACATGAAATATTTATGAGCGAAACACTAATAAAAAATATTAGAGATGCACAGATATACAAATACTGGCTGATACCAGTAAGATGATAAGTATTTTCATATTTTAAACAATAACTGATAATTGGTCAATATTAAAATTCCATAAGATATTGCATAAAAAATGGAAAATAAAACACATCAGAAATAAAATGAATAGTATTCAGTTAAAATAATTTTGTTAAATTTAATGTTGTTTTATTTAAGTTTATTGCCTAATCAGTTTCACAGGCTATTTCATGGCAGATACAGATTAAACATTTAATAAATACAAGCACTACAATAAATGTAATACATTTAATAATAAAGAAAAAATATTAAAATAAAAGTGTATATACATCAAGGATTATTTATCTCTAATCAATTGATTAATTAATTGATTACTTGTCCTTGATAAAAAAAATTGAAAGTTTTTCTGGGTCCATTAAATAAATTTAAATGTTACAATTGAATTTAATTTTACCTTTAAATAGACAGCAAAGGTAAAACACCTAAATATAAAAATTGGTGGAAATGAACATATACAAATAAACATTCAATCATGGTCATTATAAATCCAATATGAACCCATACCCATAAATTAAAAAAAAGAAAATTATAATATCAGCCAATGGTGAAAGTATATTGGTTAAGATTGTTTTCAAAAGTACAAAAATAGAGTTGATTTCATGTTGACTTTAAGTAGGTGCTTAATTACTGCCGTAGCTCCTCCTGAAGGCTGTTTGTGATTGTGTTAATGACATTAATGTTTAGTTTTCTAGCTTCAGAAAGTGATCTGAGCATGGCATTGACCTACCACAGGCAGTACAGATAAACACAGTCAAAATGACGAACGAGCACAAGCCCACAACATCAACAGCACCTACGACACAACATGCAAAATTATAGACAGGGACGCACAGAGGAACTGAGAGAGATTTGGAGCAATAAACAGATCTAGTTTTGGAGAGAGGATGAGCAGGCAACCTGAATGCCACACAGTTTCAGCAACAGCCTGGAAACATCAGCTGCAGGTGAGACAGCACCGCATTCAGTTCAAGGTTTAAGGCTTTCATGCAGGGCGGAGTCAAAATCCATGGTTGGGCAGGGTATAAGGAGGGGTTGAGTTTGATTGGTTAGGAGGACTGGTCACTTTGGCGTGAGTTTTTGATCAAGATAAGCTCCCGGAGTTAGCAATGATGAAGATGAGGCCATGTTTAAGAGCTGGAGATGCTGGATGAGGAAGAGGAGGTTGACTTGAATGATGTCAACAAAGGAGGCATAGTTGATCCTGCAAACACAACTCCATCTTTGGACCAGCCCAACAGATCAGCAGAGCGTGGACATCTGTAGGGCACTGTGAGAGGGGTGAAATCAGCCTGGAAGGGGTGGGACTAGCAGGTGTCCCCAAATAGAATACCCTCATTCAAGCCAGGGTCAGAGGGTGACTGTAATACTCATGGAAAAAAAGGTGTTCAAGTTCTTTCAGTGCGTTTCTCGCCTCACCTCTCTCCATTCACACATGAAGCTTGACCCTACCTTGATCCAAAGGCCCAAAATGCTCTGCTGCTGGGGACGGAGGAGGTGAGGGTGGCAGGTTTGCAGAGTCCTCCACTGTAAACAAACAGAAGAAAAGAAGAAGAGATCAAGGCAATGTTCAAGATTAGATCAACACATCTACAGTTTGGGCGTCCCATTATGGGTCTTTTCCAAAACCTAGTGAATAGCCTATGGAGGAAGAATGTTAAGGTATCATAGGAGGTTTGAAGTAAAGTTCTAAGCTTCTTCAAATTCTAAGACAATGTTGCATGTATCCATAATGAAGACGGAATTCTCAGTGAAGAAAATCTATCCAAAATGGCAGACAAAGGAAGAGAAATATAGCTTATAACTAAACTAAACTAAACAATAATACTAAAAAGTACAGAAAAATGCTTTTATCTAATTAAAAACTGTTCTTCAAATTCTAAGACAATGTTGCATGTATCCATAATGAAGACGGAATTCTCAGTGAAGAAAATCTATCCAAAATAGCAGACAAAGGAAGAGAAATATAGCTTATAACTAAACTAAACTAAACAATAATACTAAAAAGTACAGAAAAATGCTTTTATCTAATTAAAAACTTGATTTTCCCCCCAATATTTATGCGCAATATATGAGCTTAGCAAAATACGGACAACAAATTCTATAAAAATTAATTGTCAAATCTTAAAATAGATTCATGAAGGAATAAAACTTAAATTTTAAAATGCAATTAGCTTGTATTCCAAATATTATTTTCCGATCTTTTTGCATATATACACTACCATTCAAAAGTTTGGGATCTGTCTCAAATACTTTTAAAAATACTTTTATTCAATTAGGACACATTAAATTGCTCAAAAGTCAGAGTAAAATATTTATAATATTGCAAAAGATTTCTATTTTAAATAAATGCTAAATGTTTCACAGTTTCAAAAGTATTAAAAGTATTAGGCAGCACAACTATTTTCTACATTGTTAATAATAAATGTTTCTGGAGCACCAAATCAGCATATTAGAATGATTTCTGAAGGATCATGTGACACTGAAGACTGGAGCAATGGTTGATGACTTTTAAACTTTTAAAAGTGTATTGTACGTATAGTAAGCAAGACAACTCCCTAGGTTTTGGAAGAGCGCCAACAAATTTGAGGTTGTTTTTTCTGACCTTTTAATGTTCACTATAGTAAAGAACAGACAGGTAATGATGATGAAAAGTAGAGAGAACAAGATCAGGAAATGCAAGCCAACTGAAGTGACATTTTCTTAATCTTAAGCATGCAAAATTTCTGTAAACGCCCACACAAGAAAAATAAACCCAGTAGGCATGTTTTAACAAGGAAAAATAGATTCATAAACAGATAAAATTGTATCTTAAAATGCAATTATCTTGTATTAGCTTATAAAGGGACTCCAAGGGGCAAGCAGTTTAATAACAATAGATTTGAATGTAAAAATACCCCCCCACCCACCGACTCATAAAGATATAAATGGGGTTGTGTGCATGTGAGAGTTATTTCTAAGGATATGTTGAGCAGAGAGGAGTCTGGGCTCAGGATTGGTATGCCGAAAGCTTTGCCGTCTCTAATCCTTTGAGCTCTTCTGACAGACTGACTCAACATCAAGCGTGTTAGTGCAGAAATCATTATCTAATTTTGCTGACTAATTCCGGCACAGCAAGTGGAAACTTAGAGCTATAGATTTTATTTAATTTTTCCTTTTTCTTTTGAAGTTTGACAATGAAGCATCTGAACATTTTGGACTGAATTTGTAACAGAAAAAAGGGATAACTGCAAATTAGCAAAACTGTAAATGATCTAAGTTCATGTGTGCCATTATAAGCAATGCATTTGTACTATTTTAGCTTTCTAAAAGTAGTGAGCAATTTTGCATTATCACAAAGTACTACAATAAGTTTACATAAATTCATAACCTAATGTCACCAGCATACTGCACAGTCCTCAGAAAGTCACTGTCAAAACACAGAAACTGATGTAACAGTAGCAACACGTGCTCACGAATGAACTTTAAAAATCAAGAAAGCTCAGATAAAACCACGTCACAAGAGACATGCAGCATGACCACAGAAACCAGAAAAAAACAAAAAGTCCACCACTTTTACCACAATAACAGGCAGCCGTAGAGGACAGAGAGGGCTAAGGGGCTCATCCTAATGCTGACCATCTCTACCCTCTCTACCCTCTCTGCACAGAGCCAGGGGCTGGTGGGTACAGAAATCAAGCAGAGAGAAGCTGGGACAAGCCAGCTGTCAGGGCAGATATGCCATTATGAAGGAAAAGAAAGCGCCCTCCTGATGCTTTCCACAGCTTTAATCAGTTTACACACAGAACGAGGAACAGACACACAGAACAACAATGATGATCACATGCAGAGATAGGAAAGCAAAAATAAAATGTATTTGAGTACTGTCTCTCCATGTTGTGTTTGACAAACATGAAAACATATAAACATTCAAAGGAACAGTTCACCTGAAAAAGAAAATGAACTGATCATCTCTACATGTCTCACCAACGCATTAAAGTCCTTTAAGAGCAGGCCTGAGTGTGGCCAACCTCCAGTATCCCAGGATGCTCTCCTGCAGGCCTACCTGATGGCAGCCTGACGGCAGTGTCTGGATGCAGCTCCTGCTCTCCCTTCAGTACTGCTACCGCTTCGGCCGTAACCTCCTGCACGATCCGCGCTGATACTTGCTCTGTGCAACACATACACATACACATACATCAACACATGCCCACACGAGCATGTGTATGGGCAAATATTCACACATACATTCTGAATCAATACAGAGAAGTTTTCTTCTCTTTTTTCATTATAATAAACCAATCAAATAATCCATGCAGTCCTCACAAAAGGCTGCAAATAACTCTGAGCCAATGAGAATGAGACTGTATTACATTGTCAGCACACTATAACATAGCTGTGCACACATATGGTGGCCCACACACTGTCACACACACACAATTAAGGTCTTTTTTGGTGTTAATAATAAATATCAAATGGTTTTAAACAATATTAATAGGTCAAACTTAGAGGCTTCCATAAACAAACACAGAGCACAAGCAACTCTCAAAGTATCATGTCTACCCTTACACTACCATTTAAAAGTTTAGGGTCGGTTAAATTTTTTTATGTTTTTGAAAGTCTCTTATGCTCACCAAGGCTGCATTTATTTGATCACAAATACAGTAAAATAGTATTATATAGCATAGTATATAATACTGTGAAATATTATTACACTTAAAATAGATGTTTTCTATTTTAATATATTTTCAAATTTAATTAATTCCTGTGATGAAAAGCTGAATTTTCAGCAGCCATTACTCCAGTATCCAGTGTCACATAATCCTTCAGAAAACATTCTACTATGCTGATTTTGCACTCAACCTTTCTTATTATCAATGTTGAAAACAGTTGTGCTGCTTAACATTTGTGTGAAGCTGTAATGCATTTTTTTCAGGTTTGTTAAATTATTTATAGAAAGTTGTAAAACAGCATTTATTTGAAATAGAAATCGTCTCAGGTTACGCATGTAATCATGGAACAAGATGCTGCGTCCTCTTGTGGACACATTGGGGAATGCCGCCGGCAGGACAGGTGTCTGAAGCATGTGTGAAAAAACTCCAATCCTATTGGTCCACGTAGCCCGTGATGTCATGGGCGGGCGCTGGCAGTATAAAAGGGCACCTGCTGAATACATCACCAACTTAGTTGTCTGAAGGAGACGTGAAACAGGCAGGCAGAAGGCATGGTGAGGGGACGCAGCATCTCATTCCCTCTTGAGGAACCATGGTTGCATGCGTAACCTGAGACGTTCCCCTTCTAGGGAACCTGCGCTGCGTCCTCTTGTGGACACATTGGGGAATGAAATGGCAACTATTCCATGCCGAGGCAAATGCCTGACCACCTGGTGAGGATCTCCAAGGAAGTGACAGACGTCCACCTAAACTTTCCTTAGAAAAGTGCCAAGCCACTGACGGCTCGGGCCGCTCACATAACTTGGCAGAAATGGGGAAGCCAGCCTCAGATGAAAGGGGGGACTAAAAACCACCACCAAGTTAGGAACACCGCTATCCTCAGACAGCTATGTTAGTAACACTAGCCTGAATAGATAAGACCTCTAAATGGGAGCTCACAGAGATACTACTTAAAGGCCCAGGTAGGGGAGTAGCCGCTGAGCTAGGAAACAGCTATCCTCAAATAGCTATTTTCAAAGGCTCGTAGACCAAACGTATAGGTATAAGCTACAGGGCTAGCCTCAGATAACAATCTAGTAAAACCCTCCCACAAAACTGCCCAGACCACAGAGAGTGGGCTATCTGCTTACAACCCTAACTGGGGAGATAGCACTGTCTAGGCAGAGGCTAGGGAGACTGCTACTTAAAAACCCTAAGTAGAGGAGCAATCACCAAGCTAGCACATAGCTACCCTCTGATAGCCATGTTAAAGGAAAGGGACTCACTGCAATAGCAAGCTAAATACACAGGTAACCTCAGATAGCTGTATTTAAAGCCGCAGGTCCTGCCAAAGCCATGGCTGAAGTATAACTACCTTCAGATGGCTATACTATACAGGTCCCTAATCAGTGTCAGTCCCTAAGAGGCTAGCGAACCACCATTGTTATTGATCAGAAGCTCACATGAGGGAGAACCAGACCATCAGTAAATGATTCGCTAAAGAGTGAACACATAAAACATCAATAGTCCAGAATCAGAGCCTGATGTAAGCAGTGGCCATAACACATAAAAAGGGGTACGGAGAGGGTATGAAAATAATTATCAAGCAGTGCCAGCCTCGGGACACGGATGATCACCGCGTCTCTTAACCAGCACCTCCCTAAGATCCTTTTTCCCTCTGTTAGCAATAGCCTTCCACTGCCGACTCCTGGAAGGAGGAGGGACGCGATTAGCCACACTAGACTTTGGTCTTGTCTATGAGCCTCAGCTTCAGACAGACCATCCCCCTTAGAGGAAGATCAGGAGCAGCGAGGAATGAACTTCCTGAAAGCAGCTGATTGTGTTTTTGCCTCCCTGAACCTGTTGTTGCAAGAACAACCCAGCAGTGCGCTTTTGGGATCAGATGACTCTAGGGAAAGAGTGTCTGGATCCTGAGTCGCACTCAAGCTCATGGGCAGAGTCTATGAAAGATCCATACCTTTCTCAAACTGCTCCAAAAGCTCGACCTGTGAGTTTCGAGCCCTCGAAGCACATAACACACAAGTAGTGCGTGTCCTCAGGTGTCAAGAACCTGGGACACGGAGGCACACACTTCTTGAAATGCTTGTGTCCTGATTTTTCAGCCATAGTCACACTGCTAACAAACAAACGGCTCCTGAAGACAACAAAAGTCGGTGATGTATTCAGCAGGCACCATTTTATACTGCCAGCGACCACCCATGACGTCATTAGCTACGTGGACCAATAGGATTTAAGGTTTTTCACACAACCTTTAGACACCGGTCCTGCCGGAGGCATTCCAATGTGTCCACAAGAGGATGCAGCGTCTCGTTCCCTAGAAGGGGAACTTTTGTAACATTATGTCTTCACTGTCACTTTTGATCAATTTAATGCAACCTTGCTGATTAAAGCATTAATTTCTTTTAAAAAAAAAATTACGAACCCCAAATATTTGAATGGTATTATATGTGGCCAAATAAAACAAAATAATCTTTACAGAGACAAATGAGCACATTTTAATGTGGCTCTAATTATCACAATGTCTTATCACTGCTGTTTTTATGTCTAAGCAGACAGACAAATTTACAGAGACATTTAATTTATCACTGAAGCTAAATATGCTGCTCAATGTGACAATCAAAGCCTATGAAAAACATTTTTGATGTTTAATAATACACAGTTAAATGAAGTGGTCCAATGATATTTCACTGTGGGCGGAGCTACCCAGCACAACGATACAGTACTAGAAACCAAAGCGGCTGATAAAACACCCTGTCACTCATTGCTTCCGGCAAGCACAGCTTATTAAGACAAGAACTCAACTTTAGAAGAAATCACTTCTTATCGCTTGTCATTTCCATTAGAAAAGAGTGTTAGAAAATACATACGTAATATCGCACCAAATAAAATTAACTTCCAATGTGTAATTCAGTTTTATCTATGTCCTTTCAGAGGATATTAATTTAAACCTCTAACTCAGAGAAAAACACTCTCAAAAAAGAAAAGGAGAAAGCTCAAAATGGCAAGAAAATTGGCAGCACTTTGAGAGAGCAAATTGTCATGGTAACGGCAGATTGGGGAGGTATAAGAAGAGACTGCAACGGATTAAGCAGCGGGCAGAATACAGCCCACGGATTGGCTGGCAGCACGCATCCAGGGATAGATTCTGCTTTAAAACAGCGCTATTAAAAGTATCCCTCGGCTCTTTAAGACACTAACACACTTTCTGCATTCTTATAACACATCAGATACATTTCAGTGGCATCAATAGTCTGATATTAACCTAAAGATGGATCTAGATGGTGTTGCAAAGGCCACCCATAGCTGAAGGTTGCCAAAGACAGTGCCTACAAATCTATGTAGGCACTGTGTAGGAGTATGAGTTAAATGTGTCCCATAATCTAGTAAATAGCCATGAATCTTTGTTGTATTTGCAATATTAATCATTCAACATACAAGCACAAGGTGAAGCATTTCGATTTAATTGAAGTTGATGCTGCAACGATCAGCTAACATGTGCTCAGACACGAGGTCGACACATTAGCACCGAGGGAGAAAAACTAGCAGCGAGGCTTATGTCAAAGCTTTCTGAAGAGATGCAAAGTGATTAAGGGCCATTTGCTACTCCCACTCTCTCTCCAGTGCAAACAGACTGCATGATGGGAGTCAGCGATGCACCGCCTTTGTTTCTTGTGCACTTTTCAGGCACAATTTCTGCCCACTTACAGCCCCGGCATCCGCCCACCCACTCACATACACACATGCACAGAAAGGGAAAAGAGTTTTGCTCAGATCCCATTAGAATAATGTTCACCCACACAGACTCGAGTTTGCGGTACGCCATCAACCCGCAGTCAGATGAGAGTCACAGTAAATAATTCACTCAAAAATTACAATTCTGTCATTATTTAGTGACACTCATGCAGTTCCAAACCCGTGTTTTTTTTTCACTTAAAATATGACTTTTTGAATAAAGTCCTGGTTGCTGTTTTTTAATTTTTTCAGTATATTTCTCTGCTCTCTTCCTCTTTTTCCGCATACTTTATCGTTACACCATATCTGTAAGTGTCACTATAGATTCACTTTCAGGGCAAATCTGACCAGTCTATCAGCGTCTTTGTGTCTGACAGATGTGCTGTTGTGTCTACCCAGCATTCCCCTCTCTCCCCCCTTGTGCCTGTCCACACCCGTCTGCAAGAGATGTGCTCGGATTGCTGATCAGATGGGTTTGCCTCCAGCACACAATAGCTCACATCCCTGAGACATCAGCACACACAATAAGTAAATACCCCAAAAAGTAGCTCAAACACAGCCACACACAAGAAGATGAACAATAATGCATGGTACTTATCTGTTATTCACACGGACAGTCATATTTTCCCCTTAAGACAGGTTGCAGAAATCGAAGTCAAATCTATTTGCCGGCACTTTTAGCAAACATGCAATATAGACACACAAAATCTGTACTAATCCACAAGTACAAATATGTTAACAACCATTCTCATGCAGCAATGCCACTTAAACCTACAAAGAATCTCTAACCAACAACCCATTGGAAAAATCAAAGCTCTTACCAAAAAGTAAGTGCCGGTTATCTGGTTGTCTGGAGGCAAATGCTTCACTGTGCACTCTTAGTCATGTCTGCCTGCCAAAAGCAAGCCGGGAAGGAGGAGGGGGACGGCTGGTACTCCATGCCAGGACTCCCCCGCCAAAGAGCAGAGCTGTTGCCACAGCAACACACAGCCTGGGCCCAATCTGAATGGTCTCCCAGCATGCTTCAGCTGTGGGTTTTGCCGCCCTCTGTGTGTGAGTGACAAACAGCCTTATTCTGACTCTCTGCATCTGTGCTGCTATCTTATGGTTTCTCTAAATATGTGGATCTCAAACTCCAGATACATAGCTTGTAGTTCATGAAATATTCCAACGCAACACTTCACAATAAGGTTCAATTCATTAATGCATCTGGTGTCATGAACTAACAATAAACAATTTTTTACAGCATTTATAATCTACTGTAGGTTAATATGAATAAATATACTACTGTTTATTGTTGATTCATGCTTGTTCATTCAAATATTTAGTGTACTGTATATAGAGGTTTTTAATTAAGTTGTTAATACAGTAAAGGTAATGTTTATTGTTTGTGCTTGGTTAATAAATTAAATCTTAATGTAAGGTGTACCTATTCCAAGTGGGGAAAAAAATAAAATAAAATAAAATAAAATAAAATAAAAGTAAAGTAAAGTAAAGTAAAGTAAAGTAAAGTAAAGTAAAATAAAATAAAATAAAGCTGGAAAACATTTACTATGCTAACAAGCAGACTTAAATTGAATTTTTATGTAATTTCACCCATCTTGTGCACCATTCCTGCCCAGCACGCATTTCAGTCCAGCCCTTATAATTTAAGCCAGCAGCTGCCTCAGCAAGCAATCTCTCTCCCTCTCTGCTTCTCAAGTGTCCCGTTCTTTATGCAAAGCAATGTCATATGTCGCACTGTCAGTATCTCAGTCTAGCACCTCTTGTGTGTCTGAAGGGCCCTTGTATGTGCTGGCCTTGCCAATGCCCCTTGGCTCGAAAATCTCACCATCACAGAGTCACAGAGGCAGAGAATCTATTTTCAGGGAAGGTCCTTCTCTCCACAGGGACACATCACCAGAGCTGCTCTTTAGAATTGAGCAGTTTTGCTCACGTCAATAGCGAACTCAGTGCTGAAATATGAAAACAACCTGGAATCATTAATTAAACACATAGACGCAAGCAAAAGGAACAAGTTGTTTTCTTGGCTCACAGTGATTTATAACAGCAAGTTTGTTAATGAGAAACGCATGAGCAATATTAAAGCACAACTCTGTCTGAAGGATCATTAGAGTTTAAGGGAAGTCCATATCCATCACTCACTGTCAGGGATCGGTGCGGTGATGCTTTCTGCCCGGCTTTATGCTGTATTAAGTATTTATGGAGGTGACAAGGGAACTGTGATGATTTATACAGAGAACAGATATTACTGGAAAGCACAGGGATTTTATAAACACAAAAATGCTAAGAAAAACATATGATATGTTGCCTACTGTACACTTAACTATCAGCAGTGACATATAAGTAAGAGTAAACTGTACATGAAGGGAGCGGTATCTGGAAAAATGGATCCTGTGAACATAAAATCAATGGATTCCTAACAATATTGCTAAAAACATGGGAGATTTCCCACTGGATGCTGATCATGTCCAGACAAATTCTTCAGAAAAAGGCTATGCAGGTTGATTCTAGCGTTTCAAGTCCTCTTACAGGGGTCATATAATAAGGAATCAAATTCTCCTTGATCTTTTCAGATTAAAGAGCTTGATGTACTATGAAAACATACTGTAACGTTTAGAACTCAGAAAAGAGCAGGTATCAATTTCGCTCTGCCAATTTGTGACATCACACAGACAAATACAGTACACCAAAATATGAGGTGAGAAGGACAAAGTACAATAGAAGCTATTATTCCTCAAAACCAGAAGAACTAAATGTGGGAAAGTACGATCTCAGCAAAGTTGCACATTTCACATGTGAAAGGAGATGAAATATTAATGATTAATTATTACTAATATTATTATTATATAACATAAAAGTGTGTATGCAGTTTTAGGTGAGCTGTCATACAGTATGTGCAGATGTCAGAGCATTTATCTCAGTAAGTGCACTTCGAACAACGTGTTATGCATCTGTCTTTTCATCTGTCCATCTAACTCTTTACCCTACTCCTCATATACACATTTCCACATCTACATTTCTGCTGATGTGTCTGTTCTACCCCGACTGGACTCCCAGAATGCCTCTGCTCAACCCTTACCCATCCCGTGTGAATTCTAGCATTAGTGCAATCCATGTCACAGAAAAATTACAAAGATCTCTTTAATCTAAAATCCCCCTTCTCCAGCTCTCAGTAATTAATTAATTTATTTATTTATTTATTATTATTATTATTATTATTATTATTATTATTATTATTAGCCTTCTGTAGTATGAAATAAATAATAATATTATTTTCTTATTTACTTATGTTTTACTCATGTGCTTTTGGGGTAAAATATGGGGTAAAGTATGTTTAATTGTATTGGAAATAATGTCATAAAGCAAATCCATCTTAATAATCATAAAATAAGAATATTATTCATGCACTACCATTCAAAAGTTTAGAGTGGGCAAAGTTTTTCAGTGTTTTCAACTGTTTTTCAGTTGTTGTTTTTCTTTAAAATATATATTAAAATGTGTTTTATTCCTGTGATAGCAAAGCTGAATTTTCAGCAGACATTAATACGGTCTTCAGTGTCACATGATTCTTCAGAAATCATTCTAATATGATAAACATAATCTGATGCTCCAAAAACAGTTGTACTGCTTAAATATAGAGAGAGAGAGGTTTTTTTTGTGGAAACCGTATTTTCTCCCCAAGAATCTTGATGAATAAAAAGTTTTAAAATAAAAACACCATTTATTTAAAATATAAATCTTTTGTAGCATTAAAAACATCTTTACTGTCACTTTTGATTAATTTAATATATACTAGTTGAATAAAAGTATTAATGTTGCACGTTGTCACGAATCCGGTCTATGAACTTCCGTTTGTACACCACAAGAGGTCATTATCCACCACATGGACTCTCACACTACACAGACTTTCACACTCACCCTGGACTTCAGTTCCCACAATTCATTTCACTCTGATTACACACAGGGCAGCAGCCATTTCACTAATCGCACATTCACCTGAAACCAATCACACATACTATATAACACCTACTCAGATCCTGTTCAAACTGCCGAGTATTGTTTAAGCGTTTATGTTGTTTAGCGTAGCTACTTTACGGAGACACGAATGTGACGAGTGGGGCGGGGCCGAGAGCAGTGGGAACGGAGCGAGGCCGGTAGAGTGAATGATAATGAGCGACACCTGCGACACTCACCGGTCTCAAGTCCCATGGAGGAGCTCCAGAAGGATAAAAGGAGGAGTGACGACAGTGCAAGACGAGAGAGGACCAGGTCTGGATTTTATGTTGTTTTGTTTCTGCGCGGCAGTCATCCGTGAGGGGCTGTCGCGCTATTTTAAGTTTTGTGTTTATTTTATTTTTAAAGTTATGTTTAAATGTTCACCGGTATCCGCCTCCTTCTTCCCGAGTTTCGGCACCAATGTAACACAGTTCGTAGATCGGGAAGAAGGAGGCGGGAACCGGCGAACATTCAGACATAACTTTAATAATAAAATAAACACAAAACTTAAAATAGCGCGACAGCTCCTCACGGACCACTGTGCTCTGGTCTCCTGTGACGGGGCCGAGAGCCGTGGAAACGGAGCGAGGCCGGTGGAGTGAATGATAATGAGCGACAACAAATATTTCTTGAGACGACAAGACTTTTTTTTAGAACGAAGAAAAAAAAAGATTGGATAGGGAAAGCTCTGGCTTCGTGTGGATGTGGCCTTAAAAACAAGAGCATGAAACAAGACTCAATATAGCAGTGTGACACTGTTAAGACTTCACAATCAATAGCAGATACAAACAGGCTTAAATAGGTTACAAGATCATTAGGAACAGGTGTGTTCAATCAGGCATAAGTCCAGGCAGTGGCTTGTGGGAAATGAAGTCTGTGACACAATGACAATGACGTAGAATGGAGTGCCTTCTGTTGGACAACCAGAGCACTCCATCTGACAATCATTACATAACCCACCTAATAAGCAGCTTCCAGATGCTCCTAAATATAAAACTCCAACACCAGGAAGTGTTGGAGTGGAGGCGGAACAGGGGGAAGGATGGAGGGCCAGACCCATGAACGAGGAACAAGCCAGGCTGGAGCTGGCAAAACAGGAGAGCAGGGTAGAGCCGGTGACCAACATAGCAGAGCAGATGAGACCATAAAGTCCCACGACGCAACAGACAACCACCGCTACAGAGCAGATGAGACCAGAACCCCACTGCGGAGCAGACGACCACCGCTGCAGAACCGACGAGACCACCGATCCTCACAGCAGAGCAGATGACCAACACAGCAGTTCAGACAGGACCGAAGACCCCCAGGGTGGAGTCGAAGACCACCATGGCAGATCTAACAAAATTGGAGACCACCACGGCTGATCAGGGAAAACTGAAACACACAGCACAAAGAGGTTATCGTTGGCCTCAAGGGCCATATCAGGACGGGCTGACAGTTCAGAGATGACCTCCGTGGTCACACAGCCATATCACCCTGCAGCCCAAGACTGGTTGCCCACTGAAGCTAAGCAGGGTTGAGCCTGGTCAGTACCTGGATGGAAGACCTCCTGGCAAAACTAGGTTGCAGTTGGAAGAGGTGTTAGTGAGGCCAGCAGAGGGTGCTCACCCTGTGGTCTGTGTGGGTCCTAATGCCCCAGTATAGTGACAGGGACACTATACTGTAAAAAGCACCGCCCTTCGGATGAGATGTTAAACCGAGGTCCTGACTCTCTGTGGTCTTTTTAAAAAATCCCATGGCACTTCTCGTAAAAGAGTAGGGGTGTAACCCCGGTGTAAATTCCCTCCACTGGCCCTTATCAATCATGATCTCCTAATAATCCCCATCCATTGAATTGGCTCTATCTTTCTCTCTCCTCTCCACCTGGCCCTTCGGATGAGATGTTAAACCGAGGTCCTGACTCTCTGTGGTCTTTTTAAAAAATCCCATGGCACTTCTCGTAAAAGAGTAGGGGTGTAACCCCGGTGTAAATTCCCTCCACTGGCCCTTATCAATCATGATCTCCTAATAATCCCCATCCATTGAATTGGCTCTATCTTTCTCTCTCCTCTCCACCTGTAGCTGGTGTTTGGTGAGCGCACTGGCGCCGTTGTCCTGTGGTTGCCGTCGCATCATCCAGGTGGATGCTGCACACCGGTGGTGGTTGAGGGAGACCCCCCATATGATTGTAAAGCACTTTGGGTGTACAAAAAATACACAATAAAGCACTATATAAATGCATCATTCATTCATTCAGTCACTACATGGCAGACTGAGGGTTCAGAGACAGCCTCCTTTGCAGCAAGGGATTCAGGGATGAACTCTCTGACCACAACAGGATAGGCTGAGAGCTCAGAGACGAGACTTCCCTGGTCATTACTGGACAGGTGAAGAATTCAGAAACAGCCTCCTTGGCCATGACAGGACAAGCAAGGGATTCAGGAACGGCCTCCTTGACCGTGAAAGGACAAACTAAGATCTCAGAGACAGCCTCCATGGCTGGGACAGGACAGGCAAAGGGTTCAGGGACGGCCTACTTGGCCGTGACAAGGTAGACTGTGAGTTTAAAGGCAGCCTCTTTGGCCATGACAGGGCAAGCAGAGAGTTCAGGAACGGCCTTCTTGGCCTTGACAGGACAGGTGAAGAGCTCAGAGACGGCCTCCTTGGCCGTGACAGGACAGGCAGGCAACTCACAGGCTGGGGCCAACACAGGACTCAGCTCTGGGGCTTGAGTGGACTCTGGCACAGATTTACAAACTTGAGCAGGCTCTGGAGTGGATTCATGGACTGGAGCAGGCTCTGGATTGGATTTATGGACTGAAGTGGGCTCTGGAGCGGATTACTAGCTTCCATTGCCTTACTAGCTTCAACTGCAACGTTCATGATGTCCAGGAACATTGACGTGGTGTCCATAACGGCTAGAGATTCTGGCATGACGGCTGGAGTCTCTGGCGTGGTGGCCATCTTGTGAAAAGGCTCTGGGCTGGTGGCTATCTTGTGGAGAGGTTCTGAACTGGTGGCCATGTTGTGAAGAGGCTGTGGCTTGGTAGGCATGAGGTGAGCAGGCTCTGGCTTGGCAGACTTGACTTGAACAGTCTCTGACTTAGCAGACTTGAACTGGTTGTGGCTTGACATTGAACAGACTCTGGCTTGGCAGACTTGACAGCAGTAACATGGTGTGGATCTGGTGTGGTGGCTACTGAGGGAATGCTGCTCTTCTGGAACTCCTACAGTAAGAGCAGATCCGCTCAGTAGTAAAGCCAAATCTATATACTGCTCTAATGACCAACCAGACTCAGCAATTGGCATGAGGGAACAAATCGGCTCAGAAAGCCACCCTCAGAAAAATATCATAAAACATACCTCATCATAAGGTGTTAGATGTGCCAGTTCAAGAAAGTCCCCCATGTCGCTCTCAATCGAGCAATTTCCTTGGCGGAGATGTATTAACTTAACTCCTGGATCCATAAAGTGGTGAAGTCTTCTGTCATGAGACTGCAAGGAAGCTGAATGTTGGGATCCAAATGCAGAAGTTTAATGGTGTAAAAGGAGTCCATGACACAATGATAATGACGTAGAATGGAGTGACATCTGGTGGACAACCAGAGCACTCCATCTGACCAACTTACAAAAATAGAAAACAGCTCATTTAAACTGTAATAATATTTCACAATATTAAATTTTTTACAGTATATTGATCTAATAAATGCAGCCTTAGGCAACATAAGAGATTTTTAAAAATAAATAATAAGAAATAAAACTTACCAACCCCAAACTTTTGAACAGTATATTTAATTATTAACATAATTAAATATAGTATATAGTATATTAATTGTATTCATTATTTTTATTTCTATGCATTATTTAAATTATTTTTAAATTATTAATTATTGATTTCAGCATGTCCATAAAATCGTGTGGATTGTGAGGAGGGGTGTGCTATGTAGACCACAAAATGGGCAAAAGAACCCATAGACTTTCATTGAAGGAGGGACCCAAGCCATACATTATTAAGTGTATTAAGTACATTATTAAGCCTGTATTAAGTGACAAGAATATGCCTAAAAAATAGTAAATCAAATATAAAATAGAACATAATAAAACATACAAAAATATATAAAACAAAAGCTAAAACTTTATAAATAAAATAAAGGATAAAATCAAAAGAATCCAAAAATAAACAAAATAAAAGCTTTTTTAAAAATACATTTTAAATGTACAACTTTAGCTGTTTTCCTAATTCTGATTCTAATGCCTGGTTTTGATATCAGATATATTTGTTTAGAATGGGACTTAAGTGTGGCATTCAATATAAAAAGCATTTACAGCACCTTTAAGACACAAATGTTCCGATTGTACAATAATCTTGCAGATGTGACATAAATTCTCAGATGTAAGACATTTGGCTTAATTTAAACTTGTAAAACCAACTGCAATGGCCAAGGGCAATGAAGACTCACACGAGTGACTAGAGTGAGCCATATCATCACAGTCATATATGCTGAATTTCTAATCATCTAACAGCAAACCTAGTCTGCTGAAGGCCAGATACTGAGATTACAGTCTAATAGCTTGATGGGTCTCAGTGGTGCCACAGTCATGACAGAACCTCGCTGAGGTCTTGATTAACCGGGGAATCATGGGAAAGCATTAAACCTAGCACTAAAAATTAAATCTAATGCAGCACTCCCACTGGCACTCTACACCAAAAGTGTTTCAAATATGTGGAGTTGAAAACTGTTTCACAAAGTTTAAAAACAGTTACAGAGAAATATGGAAAGAAACTCCTGAATGCTTAAAACACACATGTATAGATGTTCCTGTTGATTAGCAACCACACAGCAACATGCTGGATATCAACCACAACATGCTAGCATTATGGAGACAACTTTTTGCACATGCATAAATAAAATAAACAATAAAAAATAATGAATACTTTACAATAAAGATAATTTAATTATAGCATTAGTAAATGCATTAGGTAATTTATGCAACATACAATGTTAAAAATGCACTAGTATATTTGGAAATTAACATTAACCGAGATTAATAAAAGCTATAAAAATTTTACTTTTTTAATTTATGGCAACAAACTGAACCTTACTGTAAGGCATTACCAAAATCTTTTAGATAGGTCTATAATAGATAAATGACTTTTGATCACTTTATTGCTGCAAATCACTGCACCTGTGAACATCTCTTCAGAGTGACAAAGAAACACATAGACATTCACAGCAGCTGAAGAACTCTGGCTCATAGACTTGAGTTATTTATTGCGGACTGACGAGGACTCTTTTTATTTGGCGATGTCAGATTCAAATAGCACTGCCCCTAGAAAATCAGTAAACAAGTCATGGCTCAATATCACTCTTTCACTTTCTTTCTCTCTCACTTCACAGTCTGTACATGATCAAAGTCACTTTTAGACCAGTATCAAGCCTTTAGATAATCAGGCGTACTCCCAAATACACAATTTTGTCAATCTCACTGCAACAAGGCATAAACTGAGCACCATTACAATATCAGCGTCAGTGAAATATTTATCTGAAAAACAGCACAATCTGGTGGACAGAAATGGCAGTAATACTCAATAAGCTTAAGGGGGTCTGAACAGACACTGCAGTGACAGCAGGTGTGGTACACTGGGCATGGTACCAGGTCTGAGTGCCAGGCTTCTGATGATCTTGATCTAGAGAACGTATGCTGGGCACCGTGGAAGTACTAAGCGTAAGGCCAGCCAACAAATCCGACCTACTAGCAAAGATGCAGAAGGCAGGTCCAGAGTACTGCTCCCAAAACAACTGTGATGACTTACTGAAGCCAAAGACTGTATAAAGAGAAGAAAACAGACTACCTGTAGAAAAATGAATGGGAGAAACCTTTCAACGCAGCATTTACATATATGCATTTAGCAGATGCTTTTATCCAAAGCAACTTTCAATAGAGGAGCATAAGCAATTTGTCGCAGAGCCAAAAATATTCACAGTGTACAATGCAAGGTCTCTTATAAATTTTGATTAGGAAACAAGAGCAGAGAAAAAATGCAGAGAAGAATAAAAGAGCTGTAAAAAAAGGATGTCCCACATTTTAGCCCAAGAGCCAATTGTCTTATTGCTAAAGGCACTGTCTAAATGCTCTAGAATTCACATTTGCATAGAGTGCTGCAGGGATGACATATTTTGTAGGCCAAAATCCAGAAAAGTTAGCATTTTAGCACTTCCTGTTCCATCGTCCTGAAGTCAATGAATTTTTTTAATGGATTTTTGGTTAAATGCTTCAAAAAGGTCTGTGGTAAACATAAGTGTAAAGTAGTTTCGTTTTATTCTATGACATAGAATATCAGTAATACTCCCTTGTGGCTAAATGGGACTACAGAGGTTGTTGGACACATCAAACTACACAAGAAAACTCATCTACTCACTAGTCTGCTTTTACAGCCTCTTTGTGTTTTATAATGGATTTTTGGTTAAATGCTTCAAAAAGGTCTGTGGTAAACATAAGTGCAAAGTAGTTTCGTTTTATTCTATGACATAGAATATCAGTAATACTCCCTTGTGGCTAAATGGGACTACAGAGGTTGTTGGACACATCAAACTACACAAGAAAACTCATCTACTCACTAGTCTGCTTTTACAGCCTCTTTGTGTTTTATAATCACACTCTTGCAAACTCTTCCAATTGCAAAGTTAAATAAAGATTTAAAGAGTTGTCGGAAGCTTTGTGATTGTGACGTTGTGAGCACACGACCGTGGTGTAGTTCATTTAGCCTACGTTTAGCTTTTTAATTCTGGTGATTATATTTAGGCTTTAAAATTCATAAAAGTTGTGTTAATATGTGAAGATTGGCCTGATGAACAAAACGTGTAAGACACATCAACTTTTGTTGTCACAGAACCTATTTTCTGCAATAATCCAAAAACCAACTGAAAAATTCTGTTAGGTTTTTGTCAAGGGGACCAAGGTGATGCTAACTTACTGGTTGGCTTATAAAAATACATCATCACTGCAGCATTGTATTAGCAGGACCGACCTGAAATCATCAGCTTTAGAGGCAAAATGCATAATATTTTAGTCCGATTTTATCTGTAATTCGATGTTTAGCCAACAGTTTTGGAGAGATGTCAGCCTTTACCCATACAAATAGCTATACTTGTATATCCATTGCCTAGACAGAATCCAGCTGGCCAGGACGTTTCTAAGAAGCTCACGATTGGACGGACTTGCGTTAAAAGTGATTTTGCCAAAGCCAAGTCCAAAACGAACATAAATTAACATAACTTGAACATCTGAGCTACATCTGATTCCACAATTCAGATCAAACTAAAGCCATATGAGATATAAAGCCATCATTTGTTTATTCTACACAAATCTATTATAAATTCACAAAACAATGAGCTGGAACTGCAGGGCCACTTTCTGTACAAGCAGAGAGAGATGGACAGATGGCTGATGAAGTGGACCTCTATGAAAAGACAGCGTGCGTAAAGGGACACATCA